GTTGTCATTGCTATTGCTGCTGGTTCTCTTCTCACATGCCTATTCACATAGGCTGCTGGCTCATAAGCCACATCCGCATCAGGCTCTTCCCAGTCGTCTATCCAATCCATGGCTGTTTGCCCACTAGCAAGTCTATGCCTAGGAAAGGAGCTCACCTGGGTCTTCCAGGATCACTGCTCCGCTACCACTGAAAGAGTGACTAGGGCGTACACGGTAGAGGTGCAGACCGCTAGTGTCTTTTATGCGCAGAGTCTTATCCTCTTGCTCTTTGAGCCTTGAAGCAGTCAAGTATGGACACACTATATCGGCTGTTGGAGTGGAACCCTGTACAGGTAGGCTCTACTTTTCAGGGGAGGGGGGCGTCAGGCTGTCGAAAAATCCGCGCGGAGAGACAAACCTTAAGCTGAAGCCAAGACAAGCTATACTAACCAAGACAATCCACAAAACACCGGCAGGCCGGCGGATTTTTGGTGCGGGCAATGCCTGCAGATTCCAGATCGATGTTAAAGAGGCGATGGCTCTACGTGTTTTGGAAGCAACACCAATGAATCAACGGATCCAAAAGTTACAGGTTTATTCGCAATGCACGGTATGGCATGAGAAGGTGTTCACCCGCCCAAAGCCAGTTTGTATGGTCATTCTTGTTCACATCACTGGGTGGTAGAAGTGCTCTCAAAGGGAGAGTCTGATCCTTTTCCATCTATCCATAGACAGATGAGATGAATTCTGTCTATGACGTTCTCGAACTGAAGTATTGACATGAATGTGCCCATTATAACATGAGCTGATGACTCTTCAGCATGCTGAAGCAACTCTCACGTTAGGTGCAGCGACGGCGTGCCGTTTTGACCGTCCCGCTATTTGATGCCGATGTTTGAGATGCTTTCGAAGGTTCAGTACATGTTCTCCATCGCATTCATTCTGAGCTTCGGTGTGCCAGCCGTAGACATTACGGAGCGGTTAGATAAAACCGGCCCAGGCTACTGGATCGCAGATAAGACGGGTTGGAGTTGGGGGATCTCAGATGAGCTCTTTCAGGCCAGGTTGTGTGGTGGCCAGCGGCTTTTGGTAAAGCTTCAGCAAGAGCTTTCTCAAGATTGTTGTTTATTTTTGTTTTTGTGGGAAAGTGCTCACAAACTTGTCACGAAAGGTAGCTTGAGCTACCTGAGTTCTCCTTGCTTTAGCAAAAATGTATTACAATCTGGATTGGGATTGTGCATTGAATTTGGTCCTGTAAGTAATGATTCTGTTCGACGGGGTGGGGGCACGCCGTCATGGACTTCTACCAGGGTTACTTGTGATTGCCTGCTACCTTTCGTTCACCCCCTCCTCTCTCAAGTTTGTCGGAAGAACCTGGACCAGGTTCGGAGATATATCGGAGATATATCGGATCCTGTTTTGACTGAAGGAAGTTGTTCCTTGGAAATTACTGGAGGTCGATGAGTGTTTCTTCAAGAACGAGATGGGTTACTTGGGTCAGAGAACGATAGTGTTTCTGGTGCTGTTTCAGGAATTGGTTGAGCTCAGCTCCAAAGAATCGACACGTCACGTGCGCGGATTCATTTTGTGAAGCCACGTGTACGGATTGGGATCTTGTGTTTTTTCACGCATATATTCAGACCCAGTGTGGAGCTACTCCTCGTGGAGTTCTTGCGGCAAGTTGTGCACAGGACAGGGCACTTGATCAGTGGCATATGGAGTGAAAGGATCCCCCGGAACAGATGGAGTATGGATCAACATTATCACATATTAGAGATAATTCCCTAAGCATCCAAGTACCTTCTCAGAAGGTTATTGGAGACACTATGAGACACTGCTATGTAGGTTTGGAGGGTCCAAGTACCTTCTGAGAAGGTACTTGGATCCCTAGGGATTGACATGCTGCGGAAATGAAGTGGTCCATAGGTCCACGACTGCTGGATCCTCACTTGTGATGGTTCATCCACCTCAGTGCACCGCAGTGTGGTTGTTCAAGTTGCCGCGACCATACCCCCGTCTCGTTGTGATCATCCCAAACGACTTGCAACGGATTGGACCAAATCTATGGTTTGGGTCGGCAACCCCCGGTCGGTTCTGAATGGAAAGAGCTTCCAAAAGGTCCCTGGGTCGCCAGAGATTTTGTCCATCACTCACTCACACGTTCTCATGTTTCTTCTGAATTATTGTCTCCTTCTGAGGTTTGGACATTTGCTCCGCCAACACCGAGGGCAAGAATCTCGAGTTCACTGAGCAGGTCCAACAGATCGCTATCATCATTACCACTCAGGTGGACGTTATCACAGGTACTCTCCCTGCCAATCTAGGGTTTTGCCGAATCATTTGCATGCTGGTCAAAGCTTAAAGACTCTAGAGAACTATGCTCCGTCAACATCTCGACCTGAACTTCCGAAAGGGGCCCACTGGTTGAGACTCTAGCCCGTGAAAACCGTGCCGGGTGCCGGTGGAATCACCGGACACCAGACTTCGACTTCGTCGGCATCCCTTTTGACTGAGAACAGAACCGAGGATCTTCTTAGAAGATCCTTTTTAGATCCCGGAGGGAATCAACGCTACAGAATCAGGTTGATTCTCACTACAGAATCAGGGTCTATGACCCTCTCTGGAATTGTTTACAATAAAATCTTTTTAGACATCACCAGACATATATAACTAGAAACCATGTGTGATCCCGAGGGCTCCAACCAAATCCTCAGGTTCGGTGGTTAGACCCCCCTGGCACCCACCCCAGTCCCATCTTCTCAGGAGGTATGTGGATCCATAGGGTGTGATAGCCCTGAATTGTTTTTTCCACAACTGCAAACGGACCTTTGGACCTTGGACATCGGAAATCGTGAAATCGCCCCTCTCATGGTGGTACGGTTTGGTCGACGTCGTCCGTCTGTCTCGATCTCACCCAAAACGGACATGGGACATGTGTCTCAGAAAAGGGGTGGTTGTAAAAGGGGTGTCCTTTGCATGTAATGTTTAAAACAAATGTAAAACGAGAGATTCATCTTGGTCCAAATCATCATCAACAAAACGGGGCACAAACAAGGCATCACGAGCCATCACGGAGCTGTTGCTGATGATGTCCTATCCGAGGTCCTTACCGGGAGACAAAGACATACAACCTACCCAGGAAGTACGTGGATAACCTGCCTAACCCTTTTTGGGGATTGGGGGACATCCCACCAAAATCGAAGTGCTGGGACAGTTCGCTTCGATTTGTCCCACCGAAACTGATAGAGTCAGACTCTCTTGGACCAAAAAAAACAACACATTCACATCTTTCCGCGTCCCCACGTCCTTCAGGCACGCGCCTGCGAAGTGCCCTCCACTGGCGTCGCTCGGTGACGCACGGCCGTGGCTTTGCAACAATGACTGTCTTGAGGCTCCCCCCTCCCTCATAGGAGTGAACGTCTTATATACTTTGGGCTGATTAGTCACCTAGTCGGACGTCGTGCAACTTCTGAGGTTGAAGCTGAGTGTTGCAGTGATGTCTCGCGATTCTGTGGGTTTGGCCTTTTTGAGATGAGTTTGAGACGTGTCTACGAATTCAGAAGATGGTGGTCTCCATGTGTAGGTCCACCATCTCAGCTAATAGGACTTCAGGGATGGATGAAGGTCCATTCTTCACACCGTCTTCATCCATCTCGGATGCTTCAGATCCTTGGGCGTTTGCCATTGAAATCGGTTCTTCACTACCCAGGCCTGGAAGGCCTTGGGACTAGAGGAGCTGGACGAGGCCGGGGTTCTGTTCTCCGACTCGGAAGAGCCGTTCTTTTTTCGCGTGAAAAGCCACATCGGTGAGTTTGGACTGAAGAACTACCAACATTTGCTTCTTCTTGAGGTGATTGTTGTGTTTCTTTTGAGTTGGCGGGATTGTAATTAGATGTATAATTAGTAAGTCAGTATGTTCTCAGGGAACCTTTAGGGAAATAGATGTTTTTGGCGTCCAGGCTCTTTGAGCCAAGCACAGGATGCAAATCTGTGACTCATTCCAATTGTTCCATGCCAATGCGATGGATCCAGTGATGGATCAAAAACCAGGGTATGGCGTGATCATCACTGCTTGCTTGGAATATTGACCGGGCCTACCAGAGATCAACGGCTCGCCTGCACCGTTGTGATTCCGAAGTTCCGAAGGATCCACCAAGTTGGTGCACGGTGAATTGAAGCTTAATGAAAAAAGGAAGCTACTACTGGTAGTATAGCATCTATCTAGTAGCTAGAAGCTTCCTTGGGAATCGTTTCTGGGAATCGGTTCACCTGTTTCCCACAAGGACGGAGGTGTTTGATCCGACGCGTGGCAAAGCCCCGCTTCAAAACAGATGTGGGACACCCAGACGCTCCTCTTCGCTTGATGTTCGAGGTGGTCTTTCGGTGTTCGGAATCAACCCAGGGCTTTTGAGGTAATATCCCATAATATCCCTGGTTGACACCCAAGTACTTTTCCCAACCATTGGATTTGTATAATAAGACATTGTGATAAAGTGCACACAAACGAGTGACCCTGTCAGAGGAATGATTCCAACCTTCCAAAGGTGATTCCATCCTCCCACATTGTTTCCTTTTATGCCTGATGTTGAAGTTTGGCAGAGAATGTCCAATGTCAATATGTGCGTAAGAAGTTGGTAAGTCAAAACGGAGGTCAAGATCAAAACATCTCAAAAGACATTGGCTGAGCCATTTCAGCCGGCGGGCCCCTTGAACACCACCTTTTCAGCTCCTGAACGTCACACCTGTCGGGTGACCTCTCATAACCTCTGGTGGCGGGTCACCAACCGGTGGACCGCGGTCGTGGACCGCGGTCGGGGCGCAGGACTCGAAGGGGCAAAAGCCACATCTCGCTGGGACTCAGAAGGTCGTTTTCATGCTGGAAGATGGTCGTCTTGGCTTGGGGATCCATGGAACTGGGGAAGTCGTTTCAGACCTGTGGATGTGAAAGACCGGCGACTGCACAGAGCAAGGCAAAAACGACTGCACAGAGCAAGGCTTTCACGGAATTTCGAACGTTTGAGACATTTCTTTTTTTCCTTGCCAGGTTGTTGTGTAGATGTCGTCCACATCGCCACGGGATCCTATGGGCATTCAAGTGTGTAAAGCAACAATGCCTTTCTCACCAAACATGCTTCCACACTACACCTCTTTTTTTGTAAGTAGCACAAGTAACACTTTTTTCCTCCTAGGTCCTAGTGCTGGTCATTTTGTGGCTGGATGGTCTTTCTGAAACATTGTGAAACTCACCAGGGCTTAGTGGAACTACTGCGAGAGACAGAGCAGGGGCACGAGAGGCAGAGCCGAGGCAGAGCGTGAAATGCAAAGGAATGGACACAACAACATGCAACAGCTATATAGCAAATGAAGCGTTAGCAATACTTCAACCCTCAAAAAGATGTTGCTCAGTTTGCTGTTCTAGAACATGATTTGCCTGAGACTCCTAACAAATACATCGACGCGAGCGGCGAGCGGAGGCGTTTCTCCAAAACGTTGCTAAGGCACTCATGAACCTGCAGTGGGAACAGATTCAGCTACGCTTGTGATGGGCCTCAGGTCGTTGCTAAGGCCCGTAGACGACTCGGTCCTTCAGGATGTAGACGACTGGGTAGACTGTTAATAGTTGGTCCATGGGTCCGATGCGAATTTTCGCAGGAGTTTTTTCTGAGTTGACTAGTGAATTGACACATACATGGCCATATGGCTTGTTGTTTAGACCCACATCCTCATCCCATGTCGAGAAGCTAGGTCAAACTGTCCGGCTTCGTGGGCTGACCTCGGCCGACCTCGATGGCGCGGTGGTTCGGTCGGCGATGGGGGTTGAGATGGCACATGCGGGGTGGAGGCTTGCGACGAAGAAAAGGGGTTGGCCTCATGAGTCCTTTAAAACTGAAGGGTGTTGGTATTTGCGTTGGTATCCACGGTGTCATGAGACTTGTTTGTTTGGGGTGGTGATCGGATTTGTGAAGCATGCTTGGTAACGACCACTCACGCACATTGTGCAACTCAAGAATATTCAACATGATAGTTGCAGGGGTTGGTCGTTTTCATGTGCAGGCGCCTTCAGTTTTACATGGTTTTGCAGGTCAAGTGGCTAGAAGATGCCAGAATTTGCACAAGAAGCTGTGATGCATTCCTAAACATGGGGTTCAGTTTCCTTGCTCCACCAGTGTACAACACCTCAGAGGCCTTCTTTTGCAATGTTTGGTCATTAGCACCAGCAAAAATATTATTTGGACATATTTGGACTTGCTTTGGTGTCACCATGGCGCCAAGGTTAGAAGGCGGCAGCAAGAGCCTCTCAGGCTTTTTGCTGCAGAAGAGCGTGATTGGCCAAACAACCATGAGATACCACGAGAATCCTCGGTTATTTTGGGGTCATGACACCGGATCAGGTACTCTCAGGTACTCCTGATACCACAGTCTCATACCGTTCCACCGGAGAGAAGAGACTCGTTCTTGTCGTGCTATGCTCGATGGGTTTAATGACGCCAAGGGCAACCGGTTTGCCTTCGGTCGAGCAAATGGTCTGGTCCAACTAGGTACCACATAGAACCACATAGAATCCATCTAAAATACCACTGAATTATATAGAAACATGGTCGAAACCACAGGATTCTCCATGGTCCGGACCGTTGGCCGGGTGGGTAAATGGAATGGTCAACCACTGACTCACCAAAGATATCATGTGCGCTTGTAGAACATACCTGGTCCTCATCATTTGGCCAGGCCATGTGTCCGACCAGGGGCTTCGTTGAACCCCATTATAGACCCTGCCCCTACTTGTTTTGTTGCAACATGTTGCAACTCTTGATGTTTGATGCTGAGCTGGGAGTCCGTATCTCACCCATTCTGATCCCCTGAAGAGGAGCTAGTGTCCATTGACCAGGCTGGTTTTGGTCTCCAGAGCAGCCGGGGGCCTCCTTGAAAGCATGGTTTGGGTGCCTGGCCAGCGAGGTCCGCTGCACTTCTGCTGTGATTGGTTGTTGTTCAGTGCCAGTTGCAGAGCAAACGCCTCAAGCCTATTTTACAATATTTATTCATTTGAGTTATGTATTTGCTGTAATTGAATACTGCACGGAGGACTATTTTAGTCTCCATCAACAGTGGTCACTGCAGCAAAAGTGTTGTATGTCACAAGTACTGTACAATACTGTACCCCTGCCAAACAACAATTTGGTATGTTTCGACAAAAGTATAGACCAGCCGCACTGGGGTTACAGACCACAAAACAACTCTCATGTTTAAAGGGATGCCAATAGAATCTAAGTTGCTCGTTCGTTCGTTGTTCTCCATGTTAAGGGTGAGTACACCGGATGCACATAGGGTTCCCCTGACTACCCCAAGCCTTCGGGTCTTTGCTCGGCCGTGAACATCCTCCTGTTTAACTACATCGAACCTTAAAATCCACCAACACCGCCGGTGGGCCTTCGGACAACTCGTCATCCAGTGGTCCATGATCCATTTCTATGTTTGACTTACATTGGTTTCAGAGGTTCGATGGCACCCGGGCACCCCAAGTTTGGTGGAAAAGTACATGGACCTCCATTTGTCTCAGACATCTGGGCGTGCCATGGAATCTCTGAAAACCACTTGGGGGGGGGGGACACCAGGCTGTGCCTTGATCTTTTACAGTCGCCCTCGCCCGCCGAAACGGCCGGATCCCGGTCCGCTCAAACTCGCCCCGGAAGGGGAAGGGTGACTCCACCGGTCTGTGGAAAAGGGAACGCCACTAGTAGTAAGTGCCACGCTACTAGTAACAAGTGCCACGCTAGTAGTAACACTTGAAGGTTCCCGTGTAAAGTGCACCTCATATGTATAGGCACAGTTCATGAACATTGTACTTTTGGCTCAAGTGATCAAAAGGCCGCAGCCGCTGCCACTTCGCGGACACGGCGGTCTTTACTGTGAGTTGGTTTCTTGGTGTTGTTTGTGTTGGTGTTCCGTTTTCCAACGGTTCAAGTGGTTATCGGCCGTATCGGCCTTTGAGTGTTTTTCGGTTTCTGTTACAACACAACAGCATCATTCATTAGTGTGGTTGCGGGGTCCACAGAAAACCCGCGCATGTCAAGTCGACGTCCTCGAGAGCCCTCCCGTTCGCCTCTCCGTCGTCCGGAGCGGCCTCCTGAACCCCCGGGCCACCGCCAAGAAGGCCACTGCCACCGACGCCTCCTGATCCTCCGAGGCGCGGTATTCGGGCAGGTGCTGCCGCACGGCGACGCAGGGAAGCGTATATTGTCAATTCGGGAGGCGATCGAGCGACGGTTCCGATTGTTCACGCTGGCGGTCAGAGAAGGCCACTTGGAACTTCTAGGTTTTGGGAGCCGAGTGCAAGCGAGGATTCGGGTGAGGAGACTGACGAAGTTGAGATTGTTGCATTTACAGCTGCAGTTGATTTGACTTCGTTGCAGGCTGTGCCGCGTTCAAGGCTCTACAATCCGTACGTCTTCGATCATTCGCCCGGCTCGTCAAGTTTGGCTGCGGCCCCAAGGCCTGCTCCGAGTCGAGCGGATTCGAGTGTTGTTGACACGCCTGCCGGAAATCGGCCTTACGACATCCTCAAGTACTACCACCCGGCGCCTGGAGTCGTTCTTCACCCGTGGTCGCGAGTTGACATTGTTTACAGAGAGGCCTTGACTTTTCCGTCTTCAGCCAAGTTTTACGTGTGGGCGAACGGTGATACGTTGAGGCTGGCTGCAGAAAGGCCGAATCACTGGGGGTCTGATCCGGTGATTGCGTTGGACTACCATCAGGTCCTTGACGTTGACCGGAGTGCCAATCCTCCGGATCGTGTGGATCATATTGGTAATCTGCCTGCGGGCCACGTTGCAGCAGTTCGTCGCTTGCGAAGGGAGATTGAAGAGGTGGGCTTGCGTTGTCGAGTGAAGATCATTGTTTTGTCGCACATTCACGACAGTGTGGTGAACGAGAGGAACTTGATCACTGCAGTACAACAGAGTTCATTGTCGGTTGATTGTGTGATCATCACTCGTGAGAGGACGGGCCCAGGTGGAAAGTTTGAGGTGCTGAGATCGTTGACTCGTGGTCAGGCTGTGATTTTGGACGACAACGTTGAGGTACTGCGTGAGTTCAGTGCAGCGAGCCTCATTGCTATTCAGATTCGCAAGCCTCGGGTCGGAGCGATTTTTGGCGAAGAGCGAAGGTCTTGGAGCTTTTAAGGTCTTGGAGCTTTTCAGCACCTTGGTTGGTGGATCGTTTGGTGACTTTCGTGCATCACCATTCGAATCCAGTTGACGAGGAAGAGTGAAGTTGCATCGAAGCTGCTCCGGTCCGGCTGCTTTGAGCGCCGCGGAGCCTCGTTCGTTAGGCCAGTTCCCGAAAAGAGCCTGTGCCAATTGTGCATTCGTTCCCGCCAAAAAGAAAGAAGGGATTGGGAGAGTTTGAATAGTTGGCCAGTGAACCATGTCAGAAGAGCAATCTTCATCGTTGAATGTCAGTTCAGATTTACTACTGTTGGTGGTTTGGCAGTTGCAGTTCGGAGCAGGTCCCAATCCTCCCATGGTTCCGGAACACCCCAAGAGGGAAGGAGATCAAAACCTCCAAAGAGATCTTTGAGCAGAGTCATCAAAAACATGCCCAAAGGTACTCAGTCCCAGGTTCAAGCAGAGGGGTCATCAGTGGTTGAACCATCCATTCCTGCGCTCACTGACCTTCGGTCTTTGCCTTCGTCCAGTGGGTTGCTTCAGCGGTCGGTTGGTCCATCCGAGTTCCAGGGTACCGGAGAGGAAGATGAAGTCATGCCTAATCAAACTAGCTTGACACAAGAATTGCACCTTCATGACGCCCGGTCTTTTAACACGGTCCAGGTGGCATATGTTGGTATCGATCATGCAGAGTTCGGTCGTGTTGTAGCTGAGTCTCAACGACTGATCGGGGAAGCGGACTCTAGGGCTTCGCACTTCGAAGGTGTCGCTCAACAAGTCTTCCAGGAAGCCACAGCTCACATCGGTTACCTGACATCCCTGGTCGAAGAATTCCGTAGTCAGAATGAAATGCTCCAAACAGGTCACACCGAGAAAGATGTCATGATCACCAGCTTGCATGAAGCGGTCCAAGAGGTAAAGCAAACCCTTGAGAACCAGATCAAATTCAACCAGTCCATGTTTGAGGGTCAACTTCGCAAAGCGAAGGACGAGATCGACCGTTTGTCCGACCTCAACCAAAAGTCCCTCAACCTTTTAGGCCATAAAGATTCAGAAATCCAGCGTCTTTGCCAAGAGTCTTCGTCTCGACAAGATCGCATCTCGTCGCTGGAGGCTCGACTGGCTGCTTCAAGCGCCGCGGTCATCCAGTCGCTTGCGCCTGCTTTCGTTCCGAAGCCTGTGCCTGATGCATCTTCGCCCAAGGACACCGAAGCAGGCAACAGAATGTTGGAGTCGATTATGGAAGCTGTTCAGTCACTCAGTTCCAGAATGTTGACACCAAATCGTGAGCCTCGACCTTTGTTCGATCGTTCGCGTGATGCAGTTGTCCATTCATCCTCATCTCCTGCAGGACCTTCTCGCGGACTTCGTGTTGGCAAAGGCTTTCCGGGAGGTCCGCCCGATCCGATCGATCAGGGGGGTGAAGGGTCGGACGACGATGAAGAGGAGTTGATTTCAGAATCGCCCTCACATGCCTCAGAAAGGGAGATTGTTGATTCTAGAGCTTTGTTGCACACCAAACTGGAAGTGGTCTCTCAGAGTGCTGCAGACTTTAGAGCTTGGAAGACAAACTTCTTTCTGATGCTTGGCCGCTTGGACATCTCGTCGAATGAATACCTTTCCAAGTGGGCTGCAACGGCTTTCGAGGTAGGTCAGGAGAAAGAATGCCAGAGTTCATCAGGCCTGATCCCAAGGTTTGATAGGTGGCTTGCATCTGAGCTTCTCAAGAATGTGCGGTCAAGCCCTGAGTTGTTGTTCAAAGTTCAGGGGTATGTTGAGCGTTGCACTCGTCAGTCCACAGTCCCTCGGGGTAGGATGATCTTGTACATGGTTGCTCGACATTTCGATCTCGATCGTACTCGTGGTTCATTGCTCACATCGCAAGGCATCTTTCAGGTGGAACTCAATGGTTTTTCGTTGAAAGATCTCCAGGAGTTTCGCGGTACAGTCATGAAGACCTTGAACTCCATTGACCCTGCCGACTGGCCGAATCAGAGAATGTTAGGTGAATGGTTGTTCCATCGGTTGAGAAATGTTCGGGCTTGCAAGGACCATCGACGAGATCAAACGCTCCGCATATAGCTCGGAACTTCGTGATTTCGACTTCCTTTGGGGAAGATTGCAGGAGCACCTCGTTGAGGAAAGGGAAGACACCAATGCTAGGTCCATAGAGCTTTCGTTGAAGCCAAAGTCGTGGAGGAAAGATCCAAAGGAGAAGTCGAATCCTCTTGCAAACCCTGCCAAGGCTGCCACGGTTCCGCCACCACCTCCTAAGGAGACACCGGCGGCTCCAGCTGATCCTTCGTCGCCCAAGAGTGACCCTAAGGGTAAAGGTGGCAAAGGTGGTAAAGGCAAGGGTGGGAAGGGAAATGGTAAAGGCAAGGGTTTGAGCAAGGAAGACAAGGCGAAAACGCCTTGCGTGTTCTTCCAAATGCCTTCCGGTTGTGTGCACGGCAGTTCATGCGCGTACTTGCATGAGAAGGTCAAGCCTGATGCCAAAGCCGAAGCAACGGGTAAGCCAAAGGCCCAGCCAAAGCCGAAAGCCAAGGCAATGGCTGCTGTTGCCATTGTTGCTGCCCTCTCATCAATGGCCATGCCAGTTGAAGGCCGTCTAGAGTTTGCTGCAGCTTCCCTCACATGAGAGCCTGAGGTTTTCGACAGGTGGAGGAAAGAGAGATTCGAGCGATGCAATCGGTCTCAGGGATCGTGAAGGCATCTTTCAAGAGGCAAATCACTTCGTGCTTGACTCATGCCCGTTTGTCCGGTCTGTT